ACGCCCCCCCTACACACCCGTGTCCTGCCTACTGCCCTCCCACTCCCAAGCCCTAGACATAAAAAACAGCTCCCGGCAGACATTGGGCGCGAACTGCCTCGGCCCCTCCTCATATGCGGACCTAGGAACCTTGCCCGAGAACGCCGGAGGACTTCCTCGGCCTCCACTGCCGGAGACCGGTGAACCTCGCCCTTTCCTCCTTCACATTGGCTAGCTAATAAAGTTTTTTTTTTACCTTGCCTACTTGCCTCATCTCTGGCGCCTGCTCCGGTGGTCGCATAAAACAAATCATTAAGCTTTTCAATCAAGTTTGAATTAAATGCATGTGAAGGACTCTGTGGGCTGGGGGATTGTGTGGGGGTGTCCTCATTTCACATTCTTTGCTTTTTCTGGTAGATAAACCCAGATAGCAACAGACCATGACTTGGGCTGCTAGTCATTTCCAAATCAATAGTTATCTGGAGAAATTCATTAGTTTCCAAAACAAACCAAAATAAAGAAAAAAAAAGCCAAGTGTCAAGTTGAACATGTTCATGCACTCAGGAGAAAAGAAGAGCAGTAAATAAGACATAGAAAATCAGAAATAGGTTAATCAAGAACTGTTAAAGCATGAATATGTAGCTTCTGAGAGAGCCCTCCAGCCCCCAGTTAAACATACTATATTTACTGAGATAATTCCCCTGTATCTGGGAATCCTGGTGGCTATTACTTCAACTGGAGAGGTAGAAAGTTGGTAGACTTAACTCTTCTCAAAGGAGAGGGGAAAAATAGGAAAGGAAGGTGGCTTTTTTCCATTGTTAAAAGGAGAGGGGTTTTTTTTTTTTTTTTTTTTTTTTTTTTTTAATTTTTTTGAGATGGAGTATAGTTCTTGTTGCTCAGGCTGGAGTGCAATGGCGTGGTCTCGGCTCACTGCTACCTCAGCCTCCTGAGTTCAAGAGACTCTCCTGCCTCAGCCTCCCAAGTAGCTGGGATTACAGGAGTCCAGCACAACACCTGGTTAATTTTTGTATTTTTAGTAGAAACGAGGTTTCACCATGTTGGCCAGGCCGGTCTCGAACTCCTGACCTCAGGTGATTTGCTCGCCTTAGCCTCCCAAAGTGATGGGATTACAGGCATGAACCACTCCACCCAGCCTATTTTTTCCTTTTTTAATTTGTATTTTTATTTGCATAGAGCAGAAGTCTGAACTGTGGCTACCATATGAGACTATGAGTGCTATCATTGCTATTGCTTTCAAGGTGCCTCTGACAGGATTCCTATTTCAAACTCTAAAAGAATCTGTTATTGTAAAAATAAAAAAAAATTGTGTATATATATGTGTGTGTGTATATTATATATATATAAATATATATATATATAGACTGTGGTCTATGAAAAATAGGAGATTGATTGAGGACATTTAAGAGGTGGCAGGTAAGAAAACAATCCACTCATAGCTTAACCTGAAACCTCAATTATGTATAATGTACCTTAATTAGGAAAGATGAAACAATTGAAAGGAAACTGCAAGAACACATTTTTACCAAGACTGGTGACCTTTTAGCATACTTGAAGAATAATTATTCTTATTGTTTTCGCAAACCAAACGGAACACACTTTTTCAAATTGGGGCTTGCATTTAATCTCATCATTTAAGTGATTATTGCCTATTTGAAAATATGTGCATGAGCATTACCATTACCAAATCACCTTTTCTCCCCTCATTTCCTTATTGAGCTTATGAATACAATTGTTTCAACATCTTTAGAAAATAAATATGCCTACAAGAGTTTTAAACTTGTGGTTTATTAAAATATAACACTTGCGTGTTGTAGAGGCCAAAGTTTCAATGTTAAGGTTCTTGTTCAGAAATTTTTCTACTGACAGATAATCAGCTTTTCTTACAAGATATCTCATGACATTACTGAAATGCATAATTCTGGTTTGATTGATTGAGACAGAGTCTTGCTCTATTGCCCAGGCTGGTGTGCAGTGGCATCATCTCTGCTCACTGTAGTCTCTGCCTCCCAGGTCCAAGTGATTCTCCTGCCTCAGCCTCCCAAGTAGCTGGGAATACAGGAGCCCACCACCATGCCTGGTTAACTTTGGATTTTTAATGGGGATGGGGTTTCACCATGTTGGCCAGGCTGGTCTCAAACTCCACACCTTAGGTGATCCGCCTGCCTTGGGCTCCCAAAGTGCTGGGATTACAGGTGTGAGCCACCCCACCTGGCCTTAAATGTATAATTTTATAGTTCCTAGACACAGAGGAGATTCATTTACTAATCTTTGAAAATTTTTTTTAAAGCAAAATGAACTAACTGAACTTCCTAATTTAATGCATTGCATTTAGTGTTAGGCTGATTCCAAAATGAAAAAAAAAAGACAAAACTTGTATTTTCAGGCTTACATGAACCAACTTTTAAAGCAACATTGGGCATTTTTCTTTTCTATTTGGATAGATAATTTAAACATAATTTAGGTTTCTGGATTCATAATGGCATGAGAAAGCATTTGAATAAATGACTTTCCTTCATTGGAAATAGTAGAAAATACCACACGATAAAGAGAATCTCAAGTCAACATGTGACTACATTATGTGTAGGCAATTTATAACCAGTACAGTGGGGAAGAAATTGATATTTTCATTTAACAGATGATATTTCAAACACTCTAGATGGCACATTATTTGTTAAAGAGAAAAAAAAGAAAAACACTGTAAATTGACTTATATTACAGATTATGCCTGTCTATATTTGCCATCTATATTGCATGATTTAAATCGACATATGTCTTCTTTCATCTGTGAAAGGACTTATTACCTTGTCTTTTCTAGGCTCACTCTTTGAATTTTATTTATAGATAGTGAGCAGAATTTATGGAAGAGGCCATAAGTAAAAAATGCAATTATTTTGAGAGCGGTATCTGTTATCAAGTTGGTGCTAGAGATAGGATTAATAAAGTTTCTGATTCTTTCCAATGACTTTTAAGTAAACACTGAGATGTACCTAATTAATCACCACAATGTTATTTACTCTGTCAGTCAGTGTTTTAAAACTAACCATAGGACGCATATTAGATGTGGAAGGAATGTGTTAATTTTATTTAAAATGGGGAATACCTGGTATGGGAAATGCTTTTCACGATCTTACAATGAATCAGCCTACGCATGACTTTAGGATTATGGGGAGCTAGCAATAAAGAAATGGTTTTGCTATCTCTAAGCTTCCCAAGCCTCTACAAAATATAATTTTTTTAAAAAAAGGAAAATTATATGCAATTATACACTTAGAGTCTGTTTTTAGTTTGTTTATTGTAAGCTTCATTAGCAAAGATTTCTGGGAAAGATCTATGTCTGGTAATTATATATGGAAATCCTGAAATATGAGAGACTTCACAGTGTGTAGTAGTTTCTTAGTGATTTTTTTACCCAGCTTGGAGAAACAGAAGTGGAGAAAGGAAAAATAATGTCATGTTCCTACCATTTGTTTTGATGTTATGAAACTCCCCAGTAGGGAGTCACTATTTTTATCTAATCTAATACAATATTCTAAGTGTTTACTTAATGATTGGTAACTCAAAAATTTGGCAATTCAACAATTTTCACTTCAGTATCTTTCTAAATTTTATATTCTAAGAATTCTAAAATGTCTTGTTTACCTGAGTGTTGTTATTTAAAAGAAATGTGGGAAGATTAGACAAGAAAGTCTTGACCTTACACTGTATGAGAACAACGCAGAAAACATTCCTATATTCTACATGTCTCTTGTCAAGACTTCAACAATTCATGAGACAATTCTACTATGAGTCAATTTCACTGCCACGTGTGCCATTTTTTCCCATTTGGGTGGCTGACATCTAATATAAATAAACTACTTTTTAGTTGGTAAGTTTTCAGCAAAATAAATTATGTAAAGGAATCTGAGCATAAATTATTATTTTTCTATAAGATTTTGAAAAGTAAGTTGATTTTAGAAGTAGCTATATTAATTCCTCATAAATCAATGTTAAAAAACCTAATCGACTTTGCATTATCAGGAGAAAAATATGCCACCATGACATAAATGCAAGCCCATTATTAGTTCAGATATAACACTTAACATTTAAAGGTGATTTATCCTAATTCAGCCACATCATATTCAGTTACCTTTTAAAAAGCTCAAATCAGGACTCTAATATATGTTCAGTATATAGTATAAAGAAAGTTTAAAATAAAGCCTTCTGAGAAATATTTAGTGCATATTAGCAGTAATAAACTCCTTAGTAACATCAAAGAGTGAGGATGAAGTGAAAGAAAAAGGCAGGACAAGAAAATAATTTAATTTACACTTTATACTTTTCATGATACGGCAAATATATACATGAAAATACTTTTATATATGTCTTTTTAAAAGCAAATGTTTGTATTAGAATTATTGTATATATTTGAAATGTTTTAGAATGACAGCCAGAATGTTATGACTGCATGCAATAGTGTTTTTCTTCAGAACATCAAGATTGAGTAAATTTTAAATGCATAATTGTATTTCATCATTCAAATATGAAGGTTGAATAGTGAAAATACTTGGCTATATCTGTAACTTTATCCACATTAATGGTTCTTTCTGTTCACTTTCTGTAATATCTCCAATTTTCAAGCTCTATTTAAATTTCTTTCAGAAAAACTTTTCATAATCACTCCCCAAAATATCTGCCAACTCTAACCTGATGTCTTCAATTTTATCCGATGAGTAAGAACTACAGGAAGAGAGAGGTTTCTCATTCTCAGATCTATTTTGTGCATATCCTCCATCTTTCTTTTTTTTCAAAAGTAGAAGCAGTGTTCTAACTTCTTTGTTATGTCACACAAAGCTGGGCATATTCTGAATGTTTGTTGAATAAACACATATTTAATAATTTCGTTGTTAGCATTTTTTTTTCATTTAGACCCACCTGTTTGTTTGTTTGTTTCTTCAACTTTTTTTCTAAGTTCAGGGGTACATGTGCAGGATGTGCAGGTTTTTTACATAGGTGGTGTGCCACAATGCCTTGCTACACAGATCATCCCATCACCTAAATATTAAGACAGCATCCATTAGCTATTCTTCGTGATGCTCCCCCTCCTCCCACTCAGCCCAATAGGCTTCAGTGTGTGTTGTTCCCCACTGTGTGTTCTCATCGTTCAGCTCCCAGTTATAAGCGAGAACATGCAGTGTTTAGTTTTCTGTTCCTGTATTAGTTTGCTGAGGATAACAGCTTCCAGCTCCATCCATGTCCCTGCAAAAGATATGATCTTGTTCCTTTTTATGGCTGCATAGTCCTCCATGGTGTATATGTAGCAAATTTTCTTTATCCAGTCTATCACTGATGGACATTTGGGTTGATTCTATTAGAACCCCCTGTTTTCATAGAGATTATCTTTTGAATAGAACGGAGTCCTTATTTTAGGGTCCTGCAGAATGTCGTTGTTCTGGTTGCTTTTACATACTTTTAAATAGCCTCCATCAATGTGTGTGTGTGTGTGTGTGTGTGTGTGTGTGTGTATGTGTTGACAGGAATTTTGAGGTTAAAATTGAAATGAAAACAAGTCCAGGTATATAACTACTCAATTACAAAATACAAAAATTGAAAAAATGAAACAAAAAAACCCACAAAGGAAACCAAATAAATACGTCTTTCAATCATTTTACATTATTTCCTCACAGCACTCATAACACTAACTTCATGACACTAAGATCTCCACATGGCCAATCCAGGGAGCCTCTTTCTTACTCTCTGTTCTTAGCCTTTTGAGAGCACTGGCATACAGCACCTCTCCTTTCCACATGAAAATCTTTCTCTTTTCCCAGCAACTCCCATCTCAGGTTTTTGACCATGACCTCCACTTCTGCTAATCTTCAAATATTCCAATGTGGAGAGCTTGCTCTGGAGTGGGGTAGAAGCCTCCACAGCCAAAATCGAATGGCGAGTGTGGAAAGCATCCCAGCAGTAGGCACTGAAATTATGCTCTCCCCCGTCACAGATGTCCCCTGAGAAGACAGCTGTGGCAGACACAGTTTCTTCTGGATAATGAGACGCAACCAGGGCCAGTTTGGCAACCTATAAGCCATCTGTCTGTGCCACTGCTGGGTGCCTGCTTTTCTGAGCTTGTGGTGAAGTGGAGCCCTCTACACTCCAACTCCAGGCATATCTCCAGGCACTCACAATACCTGCCCACCCAGATTAGCACCTGAGCCACCCCACTCACCCTAAGAAAAGACCTTGGTGATGTCCTGTTTGCTTCACGTGCAGACATATCTGCAGGCATTAGAGCACGTTTCTGCCCAGATTAGCAATCTCAGCCTCTCTACTCTTCAGGTGCAGACAGCATGGTACAGCAGGGCCCTCTCTGGCCCCTCCACTTCCAGGCAGACCTCCAGGCCCTTGGAGGAATCCAGGCATTCTCCTGGATTAAGAGTTTAGGCCACTCCCCTTCATCCACTCTTCATGCAGAGAACTTGGGGCAGAGGAGGTTTCCTAGCTTCATGCCTAGGCACACCTCTGGATGCTTGATAGCTTCCCTCAGGACCACCCCCTTGCTGCTGTTGCTTGTGCCTGCAACAGTCCAGCCCTACCTATCCTGGTACCCTCCTCCAGGGCTGAGCAAGGAGCTCAGACCACTGTGCCTCTAAGAATCAATGCATTGCCTGAGGCAACAGAGAGCTTCTCCCACTAAACAATGATCAAGTATCTCCTCAGTTATGTTGGCTATGGCTGGCTCTTACCCATAAGAGCCTCCTACTGGCCCAGAGGTTGAAGGACACAACACAATAAAAAATCTGCTGACACAAGCACACAGCATGGGAGAATGGGACAAGCTTCCTGAGCCTGATGTCATCCCAGCCCCACAGGAGCCAGTGAGCCTATGGAAACACCCAGTACATCGCCGCTGCAACCAGCATTTGGGTAAGCCACTATACAAAGACTACCTATAACCAAGGAACTTATACAGACTCCTTGCCACTAAAAATACTTAGAATCAGAGATCTAACCTTCAACATGGCCTGACGCTGAGTGAGAGGGGAGCGCAGGCCACCAAAGACCCCCTTCAGTCAAAGGAAACAGGGAGGCATTATGAGCTGCTGATGGCCTCACCATAGGCCAAGAATAGACATGGGAAGGGTGGTCATCTCTCAACCCCTGGTTCCCCCGATGAGTGCACTATTGTGCACTTGGCAGTGGCTCTTTCCTTCAGGGCCTGGGGAGAGTGGGCTGAGAGAGACCACTTCTCAGGCTTTTACAGTGGCTCCACCCCACTGAAGGCAAATGCCCTCAGGAAGGGTGCTTTTCGTGCTTTTCTGTTACCTCCACTCTTGTCCCACCTGCTAACTTTTACTCTTTTATTGGACTGTAGTTTGAACTACACCACCAAACAAAATTACAACAGTGTTTCAGAAAGCCACACCAAGGAAACTCATACAGAGCCTTGCCACCCTAAAAGCACTCAGAAACAAAGCTAGTCAATCATAGACAATATAAATCACAGTCATTTCCACCTTGGAAAAAATATTAAAAAATCAAGGAGCCCCATCCAACCAATATCAAATGCAGAAAACAAAACAAAACCAAACCAAAAAAAACAGCTCTCTCAGATGAGAAGAAAACCAGAGCAAGAACTCTGAAAATACAAACACCCAGGGTGTTTTGTCACCTCCAAAGAATCTCATCAGCTTTCAAGCAATGAATCCTAACCAGAATGAAATATCTGATAGGACAAACATAGAATTCAGAATATGGATGCAAAGAAACTCAATGAGATCCAAGAGAAAGTTGAAATCAGCACAAAGTAAACAGCAAAATGATCTACATTTTAAAAGATGACATATCTATATTTTAAAAGAGCCAATCAGAACTTCAAGAGTTAAAATATTTTCTACACGTATTTCAAAATACAGTTAGATGCCTTAACAACAGACTAAACCAAGAAGAAGAAAGAATTTCAGCAGTCAAAGTCCTTTGAATCAGCCACATTAGAAAATAACAAAGAAAAAAGAACAAAAAATAAATAAAGCCTTTAAGAAATGTGGGCACATATAAAGTGACCAAATATATGACTTATTGGCATTTCTGACAGATAAGAAGAGAAAATAATCAACTTGGAAAACATATTTGAGGATATAGTTCAGGAAAATTTCTACAATATTGCTAGAGAGGTCAGCATACAGATGGAGCAAATCCAGGGCATTCCTATGAGATACTCTACAAGGTGATCATTCCTAAGGCACATAGTCATCAGACTATACAAGGTCAAACCAAAAGAAAAAAAAAAAAAGTCTTAAAGGCAGCTATAGAAATGGTCATATTACGTATAAAGAGAAACCTGTCAGACTAACAGTGGATGTCTCAGCAGAAACCTTACAATCCAGAAGAGATTGGGGGCCCATTTTTAGCATGTTTTTTAAAAAGAAATGCTAGCCAGTAATTTAATTTCCTGACAAATTAAGCCTCATAAACTAAGAAGAAATAGTCTTTTTCAGAGAAGCAATGACTAAAGGAATTTGTCACTACCAGACCAGCCCTACAAGAGATGTTTAAGGAAGTTCTAAATATAGAAACAAAAGAATAATGCTGGATATCACAAAAGCACACACAAGAACATAACCCACAGACCCTATAAAGCAACTATGCAATTGAGACTACAAACCAAATAGCTAACAACACTATATCACAGAAATTAAACTTATCACATGTCAATATCAATATTAAACTATATCACATGTCAATATTAACCTTAAATGTAAATGGCCTAAATGTCCATTTTAAAAGACATAGAGTGGAAAATTGGATGAAAGTAAATAAGATCCATCCTTCCGATGTCTAAAAGGGATGCATCTCACATGTAACAGCACCCACTGACTCAAAGTAAGGGAATGGAGAAAAATCTATCATGAAAACAGAAAACAGAAAGAGCAGGGGCCATTAGCCTTTTATTAGATAAAATAGACTTTAAGCCAACAACAGTAAAAAAGGACAATGAAGGCATTACATAATAATAAAGAGTTCAATTGAAAAAGAAGCTTTAACTATTCTAAATACATACACAGCCAATATTAGAGAACCCAGATTTATAAAACAATTACTTCCAGACCTAAGAAAATGCTTTGGCAGCCACACATTAATAGTGGGAGACTTGAAAACCCCAATATGGCATTATACAGATCGATAAGGCAGAAAACTATCAAAGAAATTCTGGACTTAAATTCAACACTTGACCAACTGAACTTAATATACATCTACAGAATATTCCACCCAGCAATCACAGAATATACATTTTTCTCATATGCACATGAAACATGCTCTAAGATTGACCACATTCTTGGCTATAAAGCAAGTCTCAATAAACTTAAAAAAAAAATGAGAGCCTACCAACCATCTTTTCAGACCACGATGGAATAAAAACAGAAATCAATATCAAGAGGAACTCTTAAAACTACACAAATACATGAAAATTAGACAACTTGCTCCTCAGTGACTTTTGGGTACACATAAAATTAAGGCAGAAATCAAAACATTCTTGGAAATAAACAAAAACAGAGTCAGAACATACCAAAATTTCTGGGATACAGCTAAAACAGTGGCAAGAAGAAAGTTTATAGCACTAAATGCCTACAAGAAGATAGGTTTCAAATTAACAACCTAATCTCACACCTAAAGGAACTAAGAATAACAAAAACAAATGAGCTAGGAGAAGAAAAGAAATAACTAAAATACGAGCAGAACTAAATAAAATTAAGAACTATATAAAGGGTCAATAAAATTAAAAGTTTGTTCCTTGAAAGCAAAAACAAGATTGATAGACCTCTAGCTACATTAATAAAAAAGAGAGAAGATCTAAATAAGTTGAATCAGAAATGCCAAAGGTAACATTACAAACAATCCCACAGATGTACAAGAGATCCTCCAAGACTACTATGAACATCTCTATGCACACGCATTAGAAAATCTAGTGAAAATAGATAAATTCCTGGAAACAAAGCCTCCCAAGTTTGAACCAGAAAGAAAAAGTAATACTAAAAAAAATCAGTAACAGGTAACAAAATTCAGTCAGTAATACAAAAAAATCTAACAATAGGCCTTGGACCAGACAGATTCACAGCCAAATTCTAACAGACATACAAAGAAGAAATGGTACCAATTCTACTGACACTATTCCAAAAAAAAAAAAAAAAAAAAAAAAAAATCAAGGAAGAAAGACTCCTCTCTAACTCAATCTGTGAAACCAATATCATTCTGATACAAAAACTGGGCAAAGACACAGCAACAACAACAACAAAAGAAATAAAGCAAAAAACTATAGGCCAATATATCTGATGAACATAGACACAAAAATCCTCAACAAAATACCAGCAAACTGAATCCAGCAGCACATCAAAAATTTAATTCACCATGATCAAATTGGACTTTATTCCTGGGATGGAATGATAGTTCAACAAACACAAATCTATTTTGTTGTTGACGTTGTTCTTATGAAAATAAAACATACCCCAGTGTATTCCAGGCAAATAAATGTCTTCCCATTGTTTCTGTATTGTCAGAAACAGAATGTCTAAAAGAAGAGCAAAATAGATCCTCCCTCTTCTGAAATGAAATGAGGTGACACCGAGAAATTTGTATCAAGGCACTTGAGGAGCCACAAAAGCTGGTTGATGGGTAGGCTTATTGCACTATTTAAAACCTTTTATTTTAATGTCCATCTGAGCACAAAATATGATTGCATTTTGCTAGTTTAATATAAATATCTCTGTTCACTAGTGAGGTTAAGTGCCTTTCTACATGGTTATTGCCACTGACACTTTTTTGTATGATTTGCTGTGTGTATTTTGGCCATTTTTTTGTGTGTGGTGGGTTTTCTGTCTGTTTCTTTCTGATGGAAAGAAGATATATTCAAATGTTGGGTATCAATACTTTGTATCTTATGTATTGCTTGTCTTATGTATCATATTGCTTGTCCTTTAACATAATTTACATTGTTCAGTAACACAGATTGGTTTATCTGCTTTTGTAAAAATTATATTTATTATAAAAGGATACAACTCAGGAACAGTAAGATGGAAGAGGGGCATAAGGCAAGGTAGAGGGAAGAGCAATAGAGCTTCCATGCCTTCTCCATGTTTACCAAACTCCCAGTGCCCCCACAATTTCCCACACCTAGCAAGTCTCGAAATCCCACCCTTTTGGGTTTCTATGGAGGCTGTATTATGTAGGCATGACTGATAAATCATTGGTCATTGGTGATCAACGCTACTTTTTAGCTCCTCTCCCCTCCCTGGAGGTCAGGGGATAGGGCTAAAATTTCAATCCTCTAATCACATGGTTGGTCTCCCTGGAAACCTGCCTCCCTCCTAAGGTTACCCAGGAGCTCTCAGCCATCAGTCATCTTCAGGTACAACAGGATCTTTATCATTTAGAAGATTCCATAAATTTTGGGAGCCATGTGGCAGAAAATGGGGGTAGAGACCACATGTGTATTTATTATGACACAGTCCAATCCTGGTTTCTGGCCACAGATCCCTTACAGGAAACTGGTCATAAACATCATAAGAAGTCGCATTTAGCTGTCAGCAATTTAGTAATTAGCCCAGTCCATCAATATGTCATATAAAATATCTCCAGGGTGAGGCTACCCAAGTTTACAGGTTTCTGTTAGAAATGGTATTATGTCCTGCAGTGCCACATGCCTACTCACTCACAGATCTAGGTGGCCACCCTGAACAAGCACATGAGAGCATCTACTTGTCACTTCCAACCACCTTCCGAATCTGGGAGTTGTTCCGATGGGCATTGACTGACATGTCTTACTTTAATGCACACCCTCCTCAAATTCCCACAGTAAATTACACAGGGCCTTCCCTCAAATGGGCACCCCTGTACTAGGTCAGGTTTCTATTGTTCTTTTGCCTGAATGTGTGGCCAGGTCACTGGTTCTGAATCACAAAAACCTAAAGATAAGGGCTCCTACTACTGTTCAGTTCTTCCATCACTGTCAGAAAAACAGCATATCATGTAGCCCACTGTGATAATTTGTTTTTATGTTCTTTAATCATAGTAGTGGCCTTCCAAACAAGATGTTGTCCATTCATTTTGGAACTGCCATCCCCAAGTTAATCAGCTCTTTGTTGGTTTGTTTACAGGACACTGTCCAAGTGATAATAGAATCCAGTAGCTCCTCACACAGTCCCAGAGTCAGCTCTAGGGGAAAGGCAGCCCCCCGCTTGTAAATATCTCCTCTTTGCAATTTCCCACACAGCATGATCCCCTATAAACCACCTCCCATTTTTTTTAATGAAACTTTCCTGGGCACTGCTATCCCCATTAGAATGTTTCTCTTACATCACCATGACAACCTGGGTATTTCAAGTTTCAAGATTATTTGATGTCCTTAGTCTTTGCAGTAGTTTCAATTAACATCCAAAAGAAAGCTGACAATTGCCCCTTGAAAGGATATTTTTTAGTACAAAGTCCCAGTAGTCATGGCTGGGAGGAACTCGCAGGCTTTTACCATGAGCACCAGTCTAGACTCCACATAGGACCTAGCACCAAGAATTTGTTCCTACCAATGTTACAGCTTCAGTTCTATACAGTGTGGGATTGAGCCATCTTATTGGTTCCCATTTAGCATACCCAATTAATATTATTTATTTTTGGTTTTAATTGTAATCAAATCTCCTAGATGTTCTTTGAATATTACATCTTAAAAGATGGAAGACAGCGTAGCAATTCCTCAAAGACCTAGAACCATAAATACCATTTGACCCAGCAATTCCATTACTGGATACATACCTAAAAGACTGTAAATCATTCTACTATAAAGACACACGTATGTTTACTACAGCACTATTGACAATACTAAAGATTTGGAATGAACCCAAATGCCCATCAATGATAGACTGGATAAAGAAATGGTGACACATCTACACCATGGAATACTATGCAGCCATCAAAAAGAATGATAGGATGTCCTTTGCAGGGAAATGGATGAAGCTAGAAACCATCATTCTCAGCAAACTAACACTGGAACCGAAAACCAAACACCACATGTTCTCACTCTTAAGTGGGAGTTGAACAATGAGAACACATGGATGCAGGTAGGGAACATCACACACTGGGGCCTGTTGGGGGGTGAGGGGCAAGGGGTGGGAGAGCATTAGGACAAATACCTAAGGCATGCAGGGCTTAAAACCTAGATGTAGGGTTGATGGGTGCAGCAAACCACCATGGCACATGTATACCTATGTAACAAACCTGCACATTCTACACATGTATGTTATCGAAAACATAGGAGTAGGCCGGGCGCGGTGGCTCAAGCCTGTAATCCCAGCACTTTGGGAGGCCAAGACGGGCAGATCACGAGGTCAGGAGATCGAGACCATCCTGGTTAACACAGTGAAACCCCGTCTCTACTAAAAAATACAAAAAACTAGCCGGGCGAGGTGGTGGGTGGGCGCCTGTAGTCCCAGCTACTCGGGAGGCTGAGGCAGGAGACAGGCGTAAACCCGGGAGGCGGAGCTTGCAGTGAGCTGAGATCCGGCCACTGCACTCCAGCCTGCGTGACAGAGTGAGACTCCGTCTCAAAAAAAAAAAAAAGAAAACATAGGAGTAAACCTTTATGACCTTGGGTTAGGCAATTACCTTAGCTATGACATCATCTTGGATATGTCATCTTGTGTTTGACAGAATTTCTTCTGGGGTTAATGAAATATTCTAAAATTGATTTTGATGATTGTACAACTCTGTGAATATACTAAAGAGTACTGACTTAAACAGTTTGAATTACCACCTACAATGGTATATGAAATACATCTCAATAAAGTTGTTAGTAATGATATTTTAAAGATTTAATTCATATTAAACAACCAGACATATAAAATTCTGGTTCATATCTTTAGTAAATATTGGGATATGGGGGAAATATACAGAAAATAGAGCAAAAATTCTGGCTAAATGAAAAATGAATGTGGGAGTATGCTGAGACAACAATGTATTATGTAAAAAGACATCAGATAAATCAGCTAAATTTTCAACTTTATCCTTCTGTTTTTCATGGCATGGCAAGAGAGTTTATTCCCTCTAAACATTGTCATTCTCTCATTGTGAAACATATTGCTGTATCTCTTTAGTGACATAAACACAGAGCTCCAAAAACTTTACCTAAATAAGTAAACTGATTTCATCTTGCTGGTGGTAACAATTCCCTTCGATTTGCAAGTTAATCTGAACCACTCCTGTAAGAATAACCTTTTGTTATTAGGTGTGCCTACTGGGCCAGCTCTGTGGGCAAACCTTGTCTACCCACAGAAAATGAAGAGGAATGAATAAGTAGGGACAGAAGATTTCAATTTATTACCCAAGCTGCATCGCATGCCTTCAAATCTCTTTTAAAGTTACAGGTTATATATATATATATATTTTCATTTGGTTTAAGAACTCAAAGAAATTTCAATGAATATATGGTCATAATCTTGTAGCAGAAATACCTGATAGTTCTACAAATTACATAGACCATTTGGAATATATTTTCTGCTTTGGTAATGAGTCCACTTATATGGTTGAAGTTATGCGTGTTAGTTCCACATTATAGATTATTTAATTTTACTTTCCACACTCCTCATTTTCTATAGAATGTTTTTTCCCAAATTATAATTTGTCAATAAATGCTGAAATTCTTAATTTATACTCACAGGGTTCCAGAGCTTATTAATAGAAATACACATTTGTATGATGCTATGTCAAAATATTTGGATCTGTAAACTCCCTCTATTATTGTGAAACTGAATTAATACAAAGTCAACTAATCAGAAATCTGGAAGAAGCTCTTTGGTATAATAGAATTAGCACAGGTTTTGGAATCAGGGAGACTGGTGTTAAAAAATGGGTTCAACCCTTTATTATCTGGGTGACACAAACAAAGCACTTAAATACCTTAAAGCCATCATTCATAATTTTTATAAAAGGGTCCTTATGCATACCTTGGATGTTTTTTAGGAGATTAAATACAATAATAACAAGAAAGAAATTAGACTATGTCTTAAGTATAATAGACCCTCAGAAAATATTTTGTTCTCTTCTCCCTTTCTCTTGTGAGTTTAGAATACAGTATTTTTTGTTTGCATACAAAACGTACCTGCTAGAAGCTTGTGGTTCACTCTAGAAATGAAATGGAAACAAATGCACATAAAGACAAGCAAACATCAAACTGTGTTGTAAGTTTATGCGTGATTTGGAGATAATGATGAAGGGTTAAGTAGCAGTGGTTAGAATTAAATTCTTAAGAATTACTAACAAAGAGTAAGGAGGACTATATTATCTTTTAAGGAAAGGGAATACAGAGAAAATCAAGGATAAAATGTCGAGTTCTCAAAATACTGAGTTCAAGCAAAACGGTATCACAATTAGATGATTCCATTGACTATTTTGTGAGAGACAAAGAATGGAGACGTTGAATACGGAAGTGATTAAGAAAATAAATTAGGGAGAAAAGACAAGGATCATTTAAACATTTTGAGCCTGATTGTGAAGATGAATACAACATTGGAAAACCATGCAGAATGAAAAAGAGCTAGTTTTAGGATGCCAAGTTAGCTTGCTTGTCTTCTTAGATATCTCATTAAAAATGTGTAATATGAAGTGTGTCAGGTCAAAATCACATAGCCCAATTTTTTTTTTAATCTAGGTTCTCTCCTACTATTAGCTATATGCAGTTAGATACCTTTTTTAATGTCTCAGAAATTGATAATTTTTATATAAAGAGTGGAGATATACTTAATGAGAAAGTTTATTGTGAGAATTAGAATTAATTAATATAAATTACTTATAGTTTTGAGATCTTATTCTTATAGGCACATATTAATGGCAGAAATATCATTGTGAGGCTTTCAAAAACGTGCATTCCTTTCTTCTTTTAGGAAAAGGATGTGAATAGTATTTGAAAATACTAGTAAGTTTTAGCTTGGGTCACATAAGTTCTGCTATTTAAAGTTCTGTTTACAGTAGAGTCTGTTTTCAGGTAAGCTCTTGGTAAACTCCTTCATAGTTATATAGAAAGAGAGTTAATCATCCTCCTATAAGGCTACAGGGATCTTTTTATCTTTCAAACGTGTAAAGTCTCGTTTCAGTTACTCAGAGGATTCCAAAAATGGTTTCCCCCAGCCAAATCACCATGCTAAACCACCTCTTCTTGTTTGGCAGTTTCTCGTGAGAAACAACAACAAAAAAGTCCCTCAAATTGTTAAACAAGATAATTAGAAGCAGCTAGAACTGGGCTGATAATAGGCATGGGAATTTTTCAAGGGCTTCCATGTCAAAAATTTTATTTAATACAGGTCCAAGATTTGTGAAAAACCATACAAAGCGAAATGTTGCCTCTGTGGCTCCCTGAGGAGTTCAGTTCTTGGCCAACATGAATGGGCTGCATTGTGCACAGTCCATTGCTCCATTTCTAAGCAAAACATTGAAGCGGTTAGTGTCAGTCTGATTCTTATATCTTCACAGTTAGCAACTTAAAAAGAAGAAGAAAAAGAAATGGATTTCAAGCCTTTTAATGTTACACATTCAGAACTCTAGCCTGGGAATTTTATACTTAAATGTAAGAAAACTATGATAGTTAAAATATTATGTAAATCAGCTCTTCTCAAGGGGAACAAGAAAACATTTTATAATGGGAGCATGTGATTTCAGAATAATTTTTTTGTTTGAAGAAATACATTTATTTGTAATTGACAATTAACTCCAATTGCTCATTACTGCTTTTCAAAAATATTAAATGGATGAAGAAATGAAAAGTCCTGAAGTAACCTTTTGCTTTTACCATTGCACACACTGATCATTAAAAAAAATGACTCAACTCTGCATTCACAAATATCTTGGTAAATACATGTGATGATGGATACATTTAACAACAACAAAATGTCCCCTAGAAAAAGGCTTTTGGGCAACAGATAGTCTAGAAAAACTTCAGTAGTTTTTTCTTTCTTTTGTGATCAGACATTTAAATGGTGTAACATTATCTTAACCATCTCTAAGAGAGACAGTGCATTGTGTTAAATGAGATACATTTAAACAAAATCCTCTGAGACACTACCATTCTTTAAAAACTTCACCCCATGCTATTTCCTACTATTCTTCCACCCTAAATATAGACCAGAAGATTAAGGTTCCCCTCTTTTTTTTTTTTTAGACAGAGTCTTGCTCTGTCGCCCAGGCTGGAGTGCAATGGCGGGATCTCGGCTCACTGCAACCTCCACCTCCTGGGTTCAAGCGATTCTCCTGCCTCAGCCTCCCAAGTAGCTGGGATTATAGGCACCCGCCCCTACGTCCGGTTAATTTTTGTATTTTTAGTAGAGACGGGGTTTCATCATGTTAGTCAGGCTGGTCTCGAACTCCTGACCTAAGGTGATGCAACGGCCTTGGCCTCCCAAAGTGCTGGGATTACAGGCATGAGCCACCGCGCCCCGCCCAAAGTTATTATCTCAGATCTGTCTCTCACCCACTAAAAATGTCCTGACACATCATTTAGCAATACAGAGGCTTCATTTTACCAAGTTTAAAGATTCTTTGTACTTTTAAGCTACACAAATATCTCATACCTGCTGTACTGATGCTTATAAGAAAATGTATCCATGTTGGCCAAGTAATCTATTTCCTCTGCTTCTATAAACACAGGGAGACTTCCTTAGGAAGGCTATTACTTCGGACATGGTGAATAGGTTCCACAAAATTTTATGGGAAGTAAATACAACTAAAATGGATTTCCAATTCTGGTGAAGACACAGTTACGGATAGCCTACATATACTCCAACCATAAAACTACTATACTGATGGATAAATTATATGAAGCAGCTATTTGTAGTCATTGGACAACAGAAAGAAGGGAAATTCTGTACGTGATAAAAGCTCAACATCTACCTTATATTCTGTCCGGCTGAAGGCTTTTTCCAAACTTTGTCATAGGGGAGTAGTGGTCAAGCAGAGAACAATAGTCTCACTGGGCAGGAAAAAAAGAGATCAGAATTTGAAGCTGTTAAACAGAAATTTATGGGGACCGGAAGCAGCCACAAATATCTGCATAGTGCTTTTCTTCAGGCTTTGCTGAATACAAATGTGTACTTTCGAGGTGAGACTCTGGGAAGACTGGCAGAAAAGAACTTTTTTAATGAAGGTCAAATAGTGCAGGTGAAATGGGAAAAGTTCCCTTGTCCCCCTCGCAGGGCGTGTGATGGGGGAGTGGCTCACTTCTTCGGTGCCCCCCTGCTCAAATCTCTAGGGTAGCATAAGACAGGCAGGTTGTGGAGCTCCAAACCCACCGCAGTGTCTAGGGGTGAATGTTTACAGCTGAAGCCCCAGTGGGTGTGTGTTACAGGATGCTCTTTTAGTTTAGCCATCCATAGGTGTCTTGTGTTAAAGTCAGCTCAATTAGACCCTTGCCTTATCGCAAGGACAGAAGGCTTTCTGTAACCTGGGGTTCTTCCCTTGGTATACTGAAAGAATCTGATCACATGTGGGCTTGGAGAATGAGTGCAAGATTTTATTGAGTGGAAGTAGCTCTCAGCAGATCAGGGAGCCAGAAGGAGTTTGTTTTGAGAGGTGAAGCCAGCGGGGCTTCTGGTCAGGTGGGGACTTGGAGAACTTTTCTGTCTAGCTAAAGGATTGTAAATGCACCAATCAGCGTTCTGTGTCTAGCTAAAGGTTTGTAAACGCACCAATCGGCACTCTGTGAAAATGGACCAATCAGCACTCTGTAAAATGGACCAATCAGCTCTCTGTAAATTAGACCAATCAGCAGGATGTGGGTGGGGCCAAATAAGGGAATAAAAACAGCCCATCCAAGCCAGGAGCAGCAACCCAGTGGGGTCCCTTTCAACACTGAAGAAGCTTTGCTCTTTAGCTGTTCCCAACAAATCTTGCCACTGCTCACTCTTTGAGTCCATACTGCTTTTATGAGCTGTAACACTCACTGTGAAGGTCTGTAGCTTCACTCCTGAAGCCATCAAGACCATAGACCTTCACTCCTGAAGCCATCAAGACCACGAACCCACTGGGAGGAATGAACAACTCCAGACGTGCTGCCTTTGAGAGCTGTAACACTGACTGTGAAGGTCTGTGGCTTCACTCCTGAAGTCAGCAAGACCACAAAGCCACCAGAAGGAAGAAACTCCAGACACATCTGAACGTCTGAAGGAACAAACTCCAGACACACCATCTTTAAGAACATTAACACTCACCACAAGGGTCCGCAGCTTCATTCTTGAAGTCAGCGAGACCAAGAACCCACCAGAAGGAACCAATTCCGGACACAGTTTCACCACACTCCATTACCTGACTCTTCCCCAACAGCCCTGGCTAAACTCCGCTTCGTGACACCAGTTGATGGCCTGCCGCCATGCCCATGTGTTCCTATATGGGTGTGTTCCTCTTGACATCCAGCTGCCCCTGTGTTCCTCTGCTAATGTGCTTCTCTTGAAGTCCAGCCACCTATGTGTCTGCCTGCTAGGGTCTCGGGGTTTTTATAGGCAGAGGATGGAGGCGTGGTGGGCCAGGGTGGTCCTGGGAAATGCAACATTTGGGAGAGAAGTCAGGAGGGCCTGCCCTCACCTAGGTCTGTGGGCACAGGCCCAGGGGTGGAGCCCCAGCCAGGTACCATACCTTCCTCTTCCCAGCACTTCCCTGCTTCACCCTCCTCTGTATCACTGGGAATAATTGGAATTTATAATCAACCATATAAAGAGACATCACTGAACACCAAGTCATTCAAGTAAAATTCCAGAAAAGCCTTTTTTTATAAATAGAGCTGATGTAGCCTTAGAATAAGAGTAACTCTAGATGATTCCTGCTAAGACTTAAAACTAGCTTGAGTATAATTAAGCTAATCAAACAGTAAGTGAAATGCTTGACAGAACAAAAGTGAAGGTTCTTGAAAAAGAAATCCAGATACACACAGTGCAGTTTAAAAATTTGTAACACATACCCAGGAGAAAACAGTGAATAGAAACATACTGAGTCATTATGCTATTGTAGGAATTAGCAGAGTAGTAACTTAAAGCAGCTATGTGAATATGTTCAAAGATTCAACAGAAAAGATGGATATAATAATGTATAAAAAGATATCCATAAACTCAAGTCGAAGTAAAGGCAGGTGGAAATAAAAGAGTCTCCAAACTTTATAGAAATATTAACCTACAGATTTAAGAAACAAAACAAGCCCCAACCAGTATAAATAAACATATAAAAAAGGACAAACCTAAGCACATTACTGCTTACATTGCCGAAAACCAAAGAGATGAAATCATAAAACAACTCAATGAAGGAAGACAAAAACACCTTAGGGTCCATCGATAAGAATGGGTGATAATGTTTCATCAGAACAATGCAACAAGGAGCTAACAAATTTTAAATTGCTAAAAATAAAAAATTATTCTTTAGTTATTTGGTCAGAGAAAATGGCATTAACCATGTAAGCAAAATAAAAACATTTTTAGTTTAAGAGCTAACAGAGGCCGGGTATGGTGGCTCATGCCTGTAATCCTAACACTTTGGGAGGCTGAGGTGGGTGGATCACCTGAGGTCAGGAGTTCGAGACCAGCCTGGACAACATGGCAAAACCACGTCTCTACTAAAAATATAAAAATTAGCCAGGCATGGTGGCAGGCGCTTATAATTCCAGCTACTTGGGAGGCTGAGACAGGACAATCGCTTGAACCCCAGGGTTGGACGTTGCAGTGAGCCAATCGCACCACTGCACTCCAGCCTGGGCAAAAGAGTGAAACTCTGTCAAAAACAACAACAACAACAACAACAACAACAAAAAACTGACATAATTTGGCACCAATAAAAAGGAAGTTAAAAAAATATGCTAAAGTAAGTTTTTCAGCCTAAAGGAAACTAATAACTGGTATTATCATATTCACATAATTGAAAGAAGAGAAAGCAAACTGAGAATTTGTGTGCAAGTACTGTGGACTACTCTCTTCCCATTTAAAAGAATATTTACAAGGTAATTGTTTAAAACAAAATAACAGCGAAGTATTTGGGATGTATAATAAGTGTAATAGAGTAGAAAACAACTGAAACAGAAAGGAAGATAATTGGAAATTGAGGCTTATTATTTTAAAATTCTTACATGTGAAGTGGTAAATTCACAACATAGTACACTGTAGATATTAACACTGAATATTATAATCCCTAGATGTGCAGCTGAAAGCTAAATAAAACTGAAAAAGTCAGGGGCCTTTTAGAAGGGGGAAGGTGGGAGGAGGGAGAAGATCAGGAAAAACAGCTAATGGGTACTAAGTTCAATACCTGGACAGTGAAATAATCTATAAAACGAACCCCTATGACACAGGTATACCTATGTAACAAACCTGCACTTGTACCCCTTAAAATAAAGGTTAAACAAAAAGATGAAGGTCAAGGAAAACAAAGTACTTAGTTAACCCCAAAAAAATTCAGAAGAAGGATAAAATAAGGACAGATGGGGCAAAAATACTAAATTTAAAATCACATAATGGTAAACATAAACAAAAGCATATCATTAATTATATGAAAATTCAATGCAAGTCTAATGAAAGACAGAGATTCTCAGATTAAGTAAAAAAGGGAGACCCAACTATATACTGTTCACAAGAGGTGCCCTTTATTCTACTAGTAAATAGTTAAAGGAAAGCAATGGAAATAGTAAGGAAAAGCAGGTACACTTATGTGAGTATCAAACAAAGTAGACCTCCAGAGGAAAGGCTTATTATCAGAGACAAGAAGGCATTTTGTAATGATAAAGGTCAATTCATCAAGAAGACAGACACTCCACCCTCAGTAATTGATAGAAAATGTAGACTAAAGTTCAATAAGGATTTAGCCATTCAAATATAACTAAGAATCCAGTTGATATTTATAGAATACTATGTACAACCAATATGAACATACATTTCACAAGAGCACATGGAACATTCACAATGATAGACCATATTTTGAAGCATAATACTAGTCTCATTGAATTTCAAAAGTTTGACATCATATAGTATGTATTCTAAGATAGAATTAAATTAGAAATTTTAAAAAAATTGGGAAATCAAGCAGCATGCTCATAAATAACTTGTGGTTAAAACAAGAGCTAAAAATAATTAGAAAATACTTAGAATTTAATGACAATTAAAACATAGCATATAAAAATATGTAGGGTACCACTCTCATAGTGTACAGAGAAAAAATTATAGCATCACTTGCTTATATTAGGAGAGAAGAAAGGCATATAACCAATTATACAAATGTCTATCATAAAAAAACCCATAAACATGATCTAATTCACTCAAAACAAATAAAAGCAAATAATAATGATTAGAGGGAAAATTGAAGAAACAGAAACAGTCAAACATAGAGGAAAAGCAATGAAACTAATTATTAGTGGTATAGAAATATTGTCTCCTTCTCCAAAATATAAAATAGATTAATATAAAATAAACTTAAGTAGCCCATAACTATAATGACCAAGGGTAAAAAAGATTTAAAAGAAGCACAGTTATCAGAAAAGAAAGAGGTAGCATCAGTACGTGTACTACCATTATAAACAAGTTGATGGTTATAAATTTGACAACTCATATAAAAAGACCATTCTTTGAAAAACACAATAGGCACAAGAAGAAACAGATAATTAAAATAACTCTATATTTGCTAAATCTATTATATTTTTGTAATTAACACTCTTCCCACAAAGAAGCCTTCAGGGACAGATGGCTTCACTGTTGAATTCTAGAAAACATTAATGGAAGAAATAGCATCAATCTTGAAGTCTTTTGGAAAATACTGGAGGATGGAACTCTTTCTAATTCATTTTATAAGGTCTACATAACCTTGATAAGTAAACTAGACAAGGACCTAACACGAAAATAAAAACCCAAACCAGTATCCTCAGACACAAATAACAAAATATTTGTAACAATATATGAGAAGGAAAGAAGAAAATATAAGATGATAAAGTTGTGTTTATCCCTAAATGGAAGACTGGTTTAACATTTGAGAATCAATTAATGTAATTCACCACATTAACAAAATAAAGGAGAAAAACATATGATTATGTCAATAAATGCAGGAAAAGCATTGACAAAATTTTACCTACATTCATGATAAAATTTCCCAACAAACTAGGGCGAAACAAAAGAACTTCCTTAGTTAGATAAGGCCCTTCGTGAAAATCCTACTAATATCATAATATTGAAAGACAAATAATTTCTTTCTAACATCAGGAGTGAGGTAAGATGGGCTGCCCTGACCAGTGCTACTTAGCATTGTTCTGGATGTCCTACCCAGTGCAATAATAACAAGAAAAATAAAGAACATAAACATTAAAAGTATAAAGGTAAAAAAAGGCAACATAAAATGTTCTTTTCTGCACATGTAGAAATCTTAAAGAAATTCTAAAGTAATTACTAGAGCTAACAAGTGAATTCATGAACACCGCAGACTACAATGATGATATATCAGTGTTATTTATATGCACTAGCAATGAACAATTGGCAAATCAAATAAAATTGGCATATACAACAGCATAACAAATTATAAACCATGTAGTATTACTTTTAATTAAAAATGTACAAGGCCACTCTACAAAAAATTGCAAGACTGGAGAAATTTTATAAAGAAATTTTATAAAAACTTAAAATGTTGGAGAGATATTCCATGTTAATGAATTGGAAGGCATAATATTATTAACGTGCCAGTCCAGTTCCTAACAAAATCCCAACAAAAATTGCTACAGAAATTAAAAATTCTTCCTTCCTTTATTTTGATTGTCTGCTTTCCTCCAGTATGAGGGTCTTCTAGTCAGAGTTGGGTGAAGATAAATACATATTTTGATGCATATTTGTCAAGTACTTTTCAAAACACTACTGCTATATCCATAAATTTGGGAAACTAACTAAAATTGCTCATGTATCTTTTCACTTAACCCTAAGAACGCTATGACACAGGTATTGTAATTCTTTCCATGTTGCAGGTGACAAAATTAAGGCTTGCACAAGCTATGCTACTGGCTCAAAGTTGCATAACACAGAAATAGAGAAGTCTGGATTCAAACTCAGTCATATCCAAAGCCAGAGTGTTGGCAGTAATAATTTCCCACATACTGCTAGCAGGACAAATGATCCATAGGCTTGCCACAACATCATGGAATTGTTATTACTAAGTCAACATTTTTTTTTCCATCAAGTCCAAGGAAATTCAGTTATAATAGAGGCATTTACCACAGTTACATTTTCATCATAACTAATGCCAGCTAATATTCTGTATAAAATTACTATCATGAATTAACTTTATGTCTGGAGAAAATGGGATTGTATGTAATTACTGATTTCCACTCACAATAAAATAAGCAAATTATCTTCCCCAACATAAATGCACCATAAATTGTTTTGAAGCATAATGAAGAAATGAATTTCTGAAAGAAATATGAGCCAAATCTGCCAAATTATTGTAAATGATAGCCCCTTTAAAATTAGAGCATGTAATTGCAATTGGAAAACATTATCCTCTGAATGGTTACATTATTATTTGGGTGGACCAATAATCCTCTTTGTTGATGTTCTATTTCTGGGGTATTGACAGATTTTACACATTTTCATATCAAAATGCCATCAAATTTATATATAGAATAATTTACTGTTTCCTATACGAGATGTGTCATAATGGAGTGTCATCCATGAGTGTAACATAATGACATTTTAATTGAAAGAAGATGCTTTGGCAAATAAAAAAGAAAGCTATTTTTCTTTGGATATTTCTGAGTTTGTTGACAATTTTCAGCTGAGTATATTTTCAATTCAAAAGATTGTTCTAACATATGGCCACACACATTTAATCTTCATGAGTGAAAATAACCTTTACTATATGACATTTTAAATCAAATAGAATAATCAGCCTAATTTCATTATAGTATTTTATAACAATTATCTATTGCATTTTGCATAAGAATGCAACATCTGCATCACAAAATGTCACAGATAATAAAGGTGTGATCATTTTTTTAACAATATCCTGTTATCTAATAGTGAGAATCATCTGTGTTATGTAGCCAATTCTAGCCAACCAGTAACACTCAATTAAAATATTTTCAAATCAAACTTTTATTGAATTCAGAGTACCTAATCAGTGAGTGATTTGAAAGAGTCAATGAATTAAGTAATGTGACCCCTTTTCCACATTGCATGCTCATTTAACTGAGAGACATGCATGCTAATTTTCTTGTAATTTTACTGGTATTTCTCCAGCATTCACTTCTCCAATTGTGACTTCTCTACAAAAAAGTGCATCTATTTACATGCACACATATAGCAAGCACTATGTTAAACACTTTGAAACACTCCATTAAGATGATTCCTCTAGGGATGTTGTTTTCAAAACTCACACATATCACAATATGTGATCATTCTTATAATAGTAAAAACATCATTCTAAGTGATTATTCCTAATAATAGGAAAATGAATACATGTATGGGAACCAATTTCATTTTGTAAAGACAAAAGAGACACTGGGGAAATTATTTACATATTAGTTTTTCTTTTCTTTTAAATTTGAATTATTTGGATACTGATTGCAAGATGAAATTTATCTTATGAATTTGGTAATAATTGCTAAGAATTTCCTACATTTTTTGTCATGATAATCTCATTCTTTTAGGCAGAGATACTAGATTTACTAATGAACTAAATTTTATTTTCCAAATTCCTATTTTACCTGGGATTCCCCCTTTTCAATCCCCACTATATAAACGTTTCTAAGCTTGGAAAAACTTGACTAATGAAGAATTTATTTTTACCTACTTATTTTCATCTTCAGCCTTCAAAATCTCTGAAAACTGCAACACCTAGAGGTAAGAAAAAATCGTGAGAAATAACACTTGGCTCTATTAGAATTGGCAAAAACAAACTATTTGAGCTTCATTTTACTTATGTGTGTAACACGATCAGAATAGTATCTACCTTAGTGGAAAATCTAGATGACTGGTTGACAGAATATGTGTAAAACAACTGGCATGCTAATGGTTACTTCTACAAGTAAATTGTTTTGAAGCATAATGAAGGTCTGTGAGTCCAGGACTCATAACTCAGATGTAGTTTTGTGGGAACAAAAGACAGTTAAGTGCAATCTGGGCGCGGTGGCTCAAGTCTGTAATCCTAACACTTTGGGAGGCCGAGGCGGGTGGATCACTTGAGCTCAGGAGTTCAAGACCAGCCTGGCCAACATGGTGAAACCCTGTCTCTACCGAGAAAAAAAAAAAAAAATAGGTAAGTGCATAGTGTGGTCCAGACTAGATTTCCTTCACAAAATTGTTTTTATAGGAATTTCTGCTATGAACTAGTTAGTTTCATCAAATATGGCATGGCATATTTGATGAAAATCATATATAAAAGAACAAATCTATGTGTAATGACCAGAACAACTAATTTTGTGGTTTTAAACAATAATTATTTCATAAGTATTATTTGAGCAACTGTGTGTGTGAGATACTACGCTGGAAACCAAGGATAACATTGACAAATAAGGCAGACATTCTTCTGAAATGTGTTGTTTCTGAAGCGTGGTTACCATCTTCCTTTCTTTTTCAGATTCCAAACAAGTGAATGATACTATGTATTATAACACGAATTATTTCAACTAGAAAAAAATTATTGCAACTTTGTGAACTAGATTTTTTAAATGGACTTCTAAGTACACTATAAATATGAATAGCACACTTTACAGCTCATTGTGAACCATATCCACTAAGTGTTTTGTAATAGATTTCACGATGGGACCTCTCTTCAGGAGGCATGTTTGGCTTTGTCTTGATCAAAAACTGGATAAAGATATGAAAGCCACATGCAGTTTGAATTTAAATCAAAACCAGGGCCAACATCCAAAATAACCTCAACAAGCTGTAGTGAAGAACAAAAATCAGCAGGAATAAATTTGACAGCTGAATGTTGTCTTGCTTTTATGTGTAATATCCCTCCTTATCACTGTACATGACCATCATGTGAAATGGCTACCTGACAACATTGCTTTGCATGAAGTCTAGAACTCTCGCTAACTCCACACTTGCCCCTGGTGGGGCTACAAACCAAGCTAGAACATTCTGATAATATCTGTGCCTATCATCTTGCTTGTTCTGCAATTTACTCACAATTTCATAGAATAAAAGAAGGTAGTTGTCCTGATTTCAAATCTTGGATCCACTATTACTACTTAATCAAACTATTCAGCAGTTAAAAATAAAATAAAATCATATCATTCGCAGCACCACGAGTGGACCTGGAGGTCAATGTCTTAATGAAATAAGCCAGGAACAGAAAGACAAATATTGTATGCTCTCACTCATGATGTGGGAGCTAGAAAAATGAAACACAGAGGTAGAGAGTGGAAAAATAGATAACATGACTGGGAAGGGTGAGCAGGGGGGATAGGAATGAAGAGAAGTGGGTTAAAGGGTACAAACATACAGTAAGACAGATAAATTCAATGATTGTTGCAGAGTAGGATGACTATACATAACAAAAATGTATTGTATTCAGGTGATGGACACCCTGAAGACCCTGATGTGACCACAACATATTATATACATATAACAAATTTTCTCATGTATCCCATACATTTGCACACAAAAGAATAATCTGTAGCCTTTTGTCAGAATTGAAGAAGATAATGACCTTAGTTCTATTGGTATACATATATACATATTACCATTTATTGGGCATCTTCCATGAGCTAGAAGGAACTTGATTATCTTACTGTCCATATAAGTAGAAACAGAATCAACCAGAAAATCAGTAAACATTTCTAAGGTCCTACTACTGGCAAAGTCATGAGTAGAATACAAATGTGTTATCCAAATCTACACTCAATTTAAAAATAAATGAAAATCTCTGTTCATTCCTATAAAGGTAAGTACAGAGCTGTCTTTTTTAATGCAGCTGCAAACTGATAGTTCTTCAAATACTTGTCTTATTACTGCTTCTTAATAAGTGCTATAATTCTTTTTCTAAGGTGGCCATCTTAGCCCACTCTAAAGATTTTTGTTTATTTGTATAACAATTGAAGTCGTCTAATAATTCTGTGGATTTTCTAATGATGGAAAAAGTTCTGTATTACTGGCAGTTATCAAGGAACACTTTCATAACTTATTCCACAAAGGAAAAAAAAGGCAATTTCCTTTGAAAACAAACCAGTGACTTTTTGATGGATAACATTGAAGAATCTCAAATAAATATTTTCTGTCATTTTGTTTCCTGCAAATTGAAATTTCGCTATTTTATGTGTTTCCCCCATAGCCTTACACGAGGAATCTCTGAAAATAGAGTAAATGGAGGCAAGATAATACTCCCTCACATACATACTTAAAGGAAATTTGGGAAATGATAAAAACGCTTTATGGCAGGACCTAACATTAATTCGGCACTAGCTGAATTCTGATAGTAAGAGTTCTGGTATTTCTGGAAAAAACAGGTTGCAGGAATTAATGCCACTTCCTGAGAGGAGAAGTACAGAAAAGAACAAATACTGGAATAGCTACAGCGTACCAGAGATAGTGTGCTGGGTATTTTATCCACATTTTCCAGTTCAATTATTCAAATGCTTTGGAGACAGGTATTACTATCTTTATGCATGTAAAGAAACCAAGGCTTTGGAGAATTTAAGTAATATACTTCAGTTGAAGCTAAGAAACAGTAGAGCTAGAATTCAAATGTAAGTGCAATATATCTGACTTCAAAGCTCAAGCTTGTTCTCTGATATCAGGCCTTCTCCTACCAGTTGGCTTCATTCAACATCTTGCCTAGAGACCTAGGATTTGCAATTTGTTGGTATTCTGCTCCTCTGCTGTTTCATTTCAGTTCTTGCTCTGTAACCTCAAATTTGATTGGGAGAACTCGTTGGATTTAGAAACAAGATTGACCTTGTCACATTTATTTTATCTGCACCCTTCTTACCCATTCATATGAGTTAGGAAAGTGACTGACAGTTGGTTTAAATTTCTACCATTTAATTTCTTTGCAAGTGATTTTGTTCTAGTTAGCCTTACCCAAGTTTTCAAGGAAGTGCAGCCCTATGTCATTGCTGTGTAAAACAAGGACAGTTCTACAGAGTCTGTGGGGATGCTGATGACTAGGAAATTATTTTATAATGAGAAAACAAGCATTCACCATGATCAACATGAACAATATGCTGTTTGCCCTCAAGCAAGAGAAAAAGCCGCTGGCATGTAATGTTGAGACAAATAGTCAAGGGAGGCCAAGGAAAGATAAATAACACATACATACAAACATAAAACATCTAGAACAGAGGATGTTCAATATCACATCGGAATCTAGAAGGATTAACTATCTATCTATGTTTCCCTCTTTAAAAATAATACAGAGTGTGAATTTATTGTAAATCAATTTCTTTTCTAATGGTTTTGGTGATTATAAAGTAAATACAATTGACTTTAAGGTCAGGCTTACATATTTATATTTCCAATCAGCTAAAAATGTGCATGTGTTACAATAATAGTTGCATTCTTGAATGGAATAAGTTTTCTTCTCTAGAGAAACAAGGCTATTTCTGAAGTCTATCTGTAATGTAATAGAGCTCTAAAAGCAGAGAGAAAAATATCTGCATTTTGATTATTTATTTAATTGTAACAGAAATGAAATACACATGTGTAAAAAATGCAATAATTACAAATAAGTGTAAAATGTTAGTGTTTTTATTTTATAAAATCAGAAATTTTATTTTTTGTAAAGGACAATTTTAAAGAAATGTAGCAGCCTTTTCCCCTAGTTTTTATACAAGTTTTAAGTTTCCAGTTCATTTCATTTTGATGTGGCATCATTTCACAAAAATATCTTGCCAACCATTTTTGTTAACATTCTAATATGATGAATAAAAGCAGCAATACAAAAATGACAATGGTTTAGCCTCCCCCAAATTTAAGATGCTAAAATCTTTCTTAAGCTTTCATCATTATAAAACACCAATTCTGGATGTGAGGTTTAGTAAACTGAATATGAAGGCATAAGCATACATATAACTGCCCTATTGCCTCAACCTAGAACGTTGCACAAGGTTAACGGAAATGGGTCAACCACCAAGCATGTTAGCACTGTTCTAATCTGTGCACAAAATTCTCTTATTTAAATATTCATAACAATTAGGAAATATAAATTTGGACAGAATGGATCCTCTCATCTGTTCATCATCTTCAAGGACGCTTATTCTTCCCTCTTGGTGGGACATAGATTGTGCTGTAGTTTAAGTGAACAATAAAAAAGGCAATCTCAGCCTCCTACTCCATATGCCAGAGATAGGAATCAGGGACTAGGCCTGTGTATAGTGTTTCACGCCTGTAATCCCAGCACTTTGGGAAGCCAAACAGGAAGGATTGCTTGAAGCCAGGAGATCGAGACTAGCCTGGGAAACAAAGCAAGACCACTACAAATAATTTTTCAAAATTAACTCGGAGTGGTATCATGCACCTATAGTCCCAGCTACTCAGGGGGCTGAGGCAGGAGGATCACTCGAGCCCAGGAGTTTGAGGCCACAGTGAGCTGTGATAGCACCACTGCACTCCAGCCGGGGTGACAATGAAATATCCTGTTTCTTAAAAAAAGACCCAAAAAACAAAAAAGAATCAGAGACTTTTGGCAAAAACCACACAGTAGAGCTGATTAATGTTAGGCAGAGAGATACTGAAAAATCACTAGCTCTTAATAATCATGAAAGTCTAAGAAGGATTTTTCATACCTCAACTCTTTTTGTTAACTAAATTGCTGTTATGTTTTCACAAAAGATAGTACAGGCAAAGGGGAACTAAGGTATTTCTCTCCTTTCATGTCACCCTGAAATTATTTCCAGCTTCATCAAAGGGAAGTTCTTATAAATAGGAATGACTAATTGCCTAAGCTACAGACAGTGAAAAAAGAATGTGTCCTGGGAAAGGAGGGAAGTCGGGGTAGGGTGAAGAGATGAAGAGAGTAAAGGTTCAGTTGGCAATTTATGAATGATAAACTGATAGGTGACCCTAGGGAGTAAGGGTCACATAACACCACCCTTAAAGAATTTCAAATTTTTTTTAAAGCACCCTTAAAGGATTTCAGGACTGAATGGAGTGCTGTACAAGGTCACTACTGGTAAAGTTTATGATATCTTACAGAGCGCTAGTCTTTACTCTGGCAAGGTCATATTTTGTATTTTATAAATATTAGTTTCTAAATTTAATTAATCCTCACAACTACTCTCTATCGTAGATACTCTTATAAGCCCAATTTCACAGTTAAGAAAAAGAAGATTCAGGATGGTTAAGTTACGTATTGAATGTCATACCTCCAGTAAGGGGCTGGACCAGGATCCACTGGCAGGTACAGCTGTATTTAGACATACACCTCTTTATCTTCATGCAAGAATAGAGAATTTCACAAGTTGGCCTTCAGAGAGGCAGTTTGGCAGGGGTGCCGGGGTGGGAGCAGTTGTGGGGGAGACGCTTAGCCTTGAGGCAGGAGAATAGGGTCTGGAGGCAGAAAACCTAGGGCCAATTCAGTCGGATTTCCTAGAACTGAATCAAAAGGAAAACCCCACTTCTTCATGCTCAAGTAACAAAAGGATTAGAGCCTACTTCTTTTGGAAGCGCCCCTGCCCTCTCACCCCTATTTTCCATTTTCCCTGTGAAAAATGGAAAGTACCTCTGATTGGCCCCCTCCTGCAATCAGTCAGATTGGTCAGGGGCCAAGCCTTTATGTGCAACTTCCTAACTTCTCTTCAGCCTCTGATTGGTTGCCTCCCGCGACCAATCAGACTGGTCATGGGCCACTCCTTCATTTACATAAGGTGTAACCAAGTAACCAATGTGAAACCTCTAGAGGGTATTTTTAAACGCCACAAAATCCTGTAACCAGCACTCTTGAGCTGCTTGCTTGAGCTCACTCCCACTCTGTGGCATTTACTTTCCTTTCAATAACTCTGTGCTTTCCTTGCTTCATTCTTTTGTTGCTTTGTTTGTGTGTTTTGTTCAATTATTTGTTCAAAACGCCAAGAACCTGGACAACTCATGAAGTCAACAAGACCCTCCGCCGGTAACAGCCTGGGAACAATATCCCTAGTATGCAATTGAGACAGCGAGAACAGAACAGGGATCCCTCCCGGTTTTTCCTTGCTAACTCCTAATGGACTAGCTACACTCAGCCTGGAAGCTGCGCCACCACAGACGCTTCCTCTCACAAAATCGACCAATTAGGCCTGAAAGAAACAAAGCACTTTAACCGCAAACATCTTGGTTGCCAAGTGTAGAGACTTTCTAAGAGACCTTCCCCATCGCTAAGTAACATCTTAGTTTGTCCTAACTTGAACTTTGCTTCATTTTAATAGTAAAAGTCACATTTCTGGGTGGAGATTTAAGATGCAAATGAGACATACCACGCATGTTAAGGTATGACATGAGACTGTGCAGACACAACCGCTGAACCACCCCAAGAATGTCACCTGGAGGAGGCTCAAAGGAAAAGAAAAGCCTAAATTACCTGATTTGGGGAAGCCAGCAGCAGGTTCCTTCCTGATGTTGTCTCCCTTTCTGCTTAAGGTGAAAGCCCCAATAAACTGCCTTGTTCAAGCCCATTTCAGACTCTTGGTTTACTTTTTTTTTTTTTTTTTCTGAGACGGAGTCTCACTCTGTCGCCCAGGCTGGAGTGCTATAGCGTGATCCCGGCTCACTGCAACCTCTGCCTCCCGGGCTCAAGCTATTCTCCTGCCTTGGCCTCCCATGTAGCTGGGACTAAGGGCACACACCACCACGCCCAGCTACTGTTTTTGTATTTGTAGTAGAGACGCGGTTTCACCATGTTGACCAGGCTGGTCTCAAACTCCTGAACTCAGGTGATCCATCTGCCTCTGCCTCCCAAACTGCTGGGATTACAGGCGTGAGCCATCGCGCCCAGCCTCTTGTTTTACTTCTATTTACGGAGGGTCAAGATCCACCACTGGTAACATTGTAAGAAGAAAACCATGGACAGGGACTACTGATAGAGAAATGGTGGGAAATCACTGGCGAATGTGAGTTGCTCTGCATGAAGTCATCATCCACATAGCTAAAGACAAATATCTCTGTGCGTTGGGACAGAGGAAACAAACAAACAAAAGTTGCTATGGTTTTCTTTATTCTACATAGGTGAAGGAACATGCATCTCTACACTTACGGCAGAGGATCTGCAAAGCTTTTCCAGCCTCCAGCATCCAAGACACACACTCTTACAGGAACAAACAGGAAATTAATATTAGGAAACTTTTGCCAAAAACAAACTGAGGCAAAAACAAAGACGATACTTAGGTGACTTTCCCAAACATGAATTAGCCACTAGAACTAATGCATGTTAGGAAGAAGGATACTGAAAGATGACCAGTGCTTGATAATAATGGAAGTCTTCTATGGTTTTGCAAGATCCGGGTAACAGAATTAGTACAAAGAGCAAGAATTCAAACACATATTATGTCCCATCTCAGACACAATGCTCTTTGCTGTGCCTTTTTACATGCAGCTAGACAAAAGAGCAGGAACTAAGTTGCAAATGAATTGAAGCAATTATTATAAGTAACTGTTATAGAATATCTCTACCTCTTGCTGTGGAAATTATTCTTTCCTTGAGTAAGCATTTTAACACTTATATAATTAATAGGGGAGAAATCTAGCTCTGAGAATAATTTCTGCCAGAGCTTGTTTGTTGATAGTCTTCCCTTCAAGGTTGACCAGAACAAAACCTGATGAGAAAAATAGTTCAAACCATAAATTTTACCACTGAATGAATGAACTGGAGAAATAAGAAGCTCAACGTGCAAAGATATTCTACCCTTTTCAGAGGAACTAATATTGGAATCTTTGAATAAGAGATTTATTTATTTTTTCCTACAAGTGATTATTAGGCGACTTGTAGACAAGAAATGAAAATATTTTTCTGAAGCAGTTATTAAAGTCTTCTGACGAAGCACTACTGACATTTGCAATATTTACTTAAGGTTTATAAAGCACTTTTGTCTTCTGGGATTAAAGACACTAAAGCATTTGGTGAGTTTATCATCGTATTAATGTTAATGACTGGTATTCAATTGCTCATCAAAAATAAGATGGTGTCCAGTGTTCCTGTATTAATTTTGTTTCCACAACAATAAATTTTTAGCAGAAAATAAAGGACGCATTTTCTCCAAAAAACAACCCCAGAACTATGAAAGAGATAGCTTATGAGTGACAGATTGTAGGATAAAACACCATCATCAGTGAAAATGTATGATTTAGGGAAAGCAAATTCCTTCAGCTTCTGGTGGCTGCTCTAATCCTGTGAATAAAATAACAGCATGCAAATGCTTGGTCTAGAGTTTGACAAGGCTGTCACTTTCCCTTATCGGACACAGTGCTTTATCACAATGCAGTCAAAAGAAAGGAGGAAATGAGGTGGAAAATATTATTATAGGATTTTTAGGGTACTTTGATAGAAACTAGAGACAGCTGTTAAAACTACAGTATTTAAGAACAAATGTGAGTAATGAACCGTAAAGTGAAATATGTAAGGCAGGGAAATATTTCTGGCAATACATATGTTCTACATAAATTTTACTTATGTATAAGGATACTAAAGTGTAGGATGAGGCTACATAGAGACATTGATTAAGCAATCACCAGCACCACTTTGTTTATACATTAGTGCTTGTGTAGTACTTTCTGAAGAGTTGCAGAGTTGTCTTGTGTCATGAAATAGTAACTATGTAACTTATCTCCTTCCTTCCTTTCTGTTTTTTTCTGCTTCTCTCTCCCTCTTTGCACTGGCTACCAGGGAGCACAGAGTGTGATATACTGAGCAAATAGCTCAGCCCTGCCTTGGAGCAAACTTATCACTTTCTTATTAATGATACCTGTTTTTCTAATTTTTCTATATCCTTGCATACCATTTACAGTGTTACACAACTGGTTTTATTATGAACAATTTCAAGTACCTTTTAGAGAAGCAGATTGCTAATTCAAAGCAAACATGAAAGAGATACCAGCATTTGTAATTAATTTTGAATAAATTTCAAAGAATACAGCAGGACGGTGATCTGATTCTTTTCCTTTTGCTTTTTTTTATTCTCTTTGCTGACTTTAATATACAATGAGGTGGTGCCAACAATGAGAATGTGCTGTGTTGTGTTCAGAATCCTTGCTGACAATGTTTTCGGGCAAACACATGAGTAACAACACATTGTACTGATTGCCGTTGTATTGATTATCATTGCACAGTTTTCCTGTTAAAGCTTTGTTATTATTTTTCTGGCATTGTCAGGGGGAAATCAAATTTTTAAATGTATTACAAAAATATGCGTATCATTTGTGTAGCTATCTGTCTCCCTAGACAATATTTTGAAGTTGGTGTAAAATAAATATCTAATACTTCAAAGAAAGCCCATTGAGTTGGAAAGATTTATTTTGATTTACAAAATACTCTCCTTTGATTTTTTTTTATTTTAGATGACTGATACTGGAGTTTTCTTCTATTTAATTGTTGTTTTACTTCTGAGTAGTTTTTTTTTTTTAATATTTGTTGGGGGTAGAAAAAGAAAGAATATTTTTAAAGAGTTTGTTAGATATATGAGAGGGTAGGAGGAAATAAAGGCAATACTACTTATGCTTAAGCAAGTAGAGATGTTTTTTAAAAGCAAGTGAGACTACCTATAAAAAAAAAGAGGGCGGTCATAGGAGTCACTGCAGTAATTCTATACACTAAGAAAAGGAGGTTAGAAATAAAACCTCACCTACTATTATCAAAGACGGAGCTGCTTGGCCAAGCAGCTAGCAAATATTTCTTCCCACAGAGAATGCTGAGAAAGGAAAACACAACACCTCCAGTTTGAACTCCGAATAAAACCTGGCCCAACAGCCTTAAAACCCTAGTGGTCAAATTGAGAAGAATCTGGAATGAAATGCCATTTTAAACTCGGAAGCAAGCATCTGTCTTGCAGGAGTCAGAGGCTTGAATATTCCTCTGGGGTGAGCTGTCACTTCTTCCTGGCAAACAATTTTAGGTGCACAAATGTGAAGGCAGCCAGCACCCATGAGGGGAGCCCTTATCGCCATCAACCTCAACTGTCTTCCATTACCCACGGCTACCAAGAAGATGTTTGTGTGTGTGTGATTTACATGAAAATCAGGAAAGGGCTCATTTGGTGTGTTTTTATTTATTTATTTATCTTTAATAAGCATATGTATATTTATTACCTTTTAGGGTACTTATGTAATCCATCTCCAAAATCTAGATTTATGTGAGAGTAAAATAGGGCTCTATTAACAATGAGAGCAGGACAGCAAAAACAAACTGGAATTAACATGGGAATTTAATCACGCTGATTTTGTTACCTTGAATATAAGTTTTCATTTGGGATGCAATCATTATCATCATTTTCAGTAGAAGGTTTAGATGAAGCAAACATCAATATTCCAGAAGCAGGATCTTTAACTATCAGAACCAAAAGGTGTGACTAGATGCTGAACTGATTCAGTATTTAGCCCAAGCCATCATCCCTAAGATTTGCTAGAGTGTCATAACTTGTTCTTGTAAGGGTGAAAGATTTCTCTAAACTACTACTCTTAAAATTAACGGGCATATGCATAGACCCAGGGAGGGGAACAACACATACTGGGACCTGTCGGGGAGGCAGGAGGAGAGAGAGCATCGGGATAAATAGCTAATGCAAGTGGGTCTTAATACCGATGTGAGGGGTTGATAGGTGCAGCAAACCACCTTGGCACACGTTTATTTATGTAACGAACCTGTACGTCCTGCACATGTATCCCAAATTTTGAAACAAAATATAATTAAATTAAAAAGAAAAAAATGAATGTGTGAATGAATCACCTAGGCATTTTGTTAAAGTACAGATTCTAATTCAGGAATATTGTGGTAGGGCCTGAGATTCTCCATTTCTAACAAGCTTCCAGGTCATGTCAATGCTGCTAGTGTATGAACTCCACATTGAATAGCGCTTCTCTAAATTATTTTAGTCAAGTCACAAATCTTGTTTATCCCTAATGTTGCCATTGAGAGCTCATTTCATCACCCTACTTTACAAGATGCTGCTAGATTCCCCCAGTGAAACTCCATGTTAGTATTCAGTAAACTAGTTAACAAAGCATTGGCTACTGATGATAAATAGGAATCTTAGGAAGGCTTCTGTTAGCCAGCTCTGGAGAAAAGCTCTTGAAATAACTTTTTAAATTAATTTATTTTTAATTGAAAACTATTAATTGTGTATATCTGTGAGTACAACGTGATGTTTTGACCTATTTAGAAAACACCGTGGAAAATTTTAATCTAATTAACATATTCTTCACCTCACTAACTTATCAGGCATGCTGACCATAGATAATAATAATGTATTATATATCCCCAAATTGCTACAGGAATAGAATGGTTTATAATGCATGTCATGACTATGGGTTGTTCTGAATCTTCTTCCTAAAAGACTTTTATATTTTTGCTTGTTTCTCTGATCCTTTCCTCTAGATGGTAATGACCTTACTCTTTGTATCAGAATTCCCCTTCTTTTGTTTGGAGAAAGTAAATTTCATCCATTATCTTCAAGATCGGTTCTGAGATTTCAAAACCAATGGTGTCCTCTGCACTAGAAAAATGCTTCAACAATATCAGCTCTTCTTCTTATGAAAAG